ATGCTATATCTACCTAAGCAAGTGTCAATAAACTGCTACGGTGGAAAGGGTTGAATGTTGTATTGACAGGCAACTAAAATAATTGGTCAAAACATTTCCATCATCTACTCCCTCTTCGTTCCATTTTTCACTCGCCTTCCATAACTTTTTCTTTATTTTTTTTCGTTGCCTTATTCGTCTAACCCTAATTAGTATACTATTTTTATATACTCTAATCATAAGTATGAACGGGTCCTTACACGATTCACCAACAGTCTAGAGAATTAATAATTGAACCATGAGCCGCTAACCTTTTCAGTTTAATGTCGAGTCCAATTAAAAATAAATATATATGGTTATTACTTATTAGAAAGTCGTCATTTTTCACTGTGTGATTTGAAGGCGTGAAATTTTAATCAAGTTCCAGTTTGTATTCCTTTTACTTCTCTCTAGAGTTTTTCTTTTTCACTCGGGCTAGAACTTTCAACAATTATACATGGAATGTTTGGCTAGGTATCTACACATATCAGATAAATCGTTTCTATTTTTCTATAAAAAGGTAAATAATTATCATCTTAAATACGTCACCATAAAAGGAATTAAGCCTCAACTATGCAAATTATAGTTCGGTACCTAAACTTAATAGATATATAGATTTACCTAAATTTATTTTTTGTCATATAAGTCCTCAAATATTGATGGAACATTACATTTAGTACCTAATTTTTCTGTGTATTACATTTTAGTACCGAAGCTTTTGAAGTCCTTCAAATAGGTCTAACTTTTGTGTGTGTAATTAAAACACCATCGAATAAATGAGTATTCATACCCAACTCATACACATTTAGATTATAGAAGTATCCATACCCGACCCAAACCCATCTACAAACTTCCAAACACATATATACGTCACCCATACCATACCCATAATCAATGGTCTACTTGAGTTTAGGTAAATATCTTTTATTAGCCGAAAATTTCAAAACATTTTAAATTGGATGTTGACCGTCATATATTTATTCTCGGTCAATATTACTAACAAAACACCATAAAGAACCACATAATACATGCCCATAGGCCATCTCCGTCTGCGACAAGGCGCTACATCGCCACCTAGTTTAACTAAAAAATCAGACACATCACTTAGGTTACAATATTAATACTAGTAATTGTCCAAGTCTTCAAGCCACAATCAATCAATCACACAGTCTCAAGCCAAAATCACACATGCAACACTCCTGAAACAAAATAATAGAATAATCCAAATATTTTTTATAACATAAAAGTAGAAGCTCCAATTTAGGGCTTCTTTGAAAATATGCTATGAAAATACAAAATTATATTTCATTAAAAATATAATTTTCATATTATTTTAAAAATTGTATTAAATATTAAAATAAAATTATTAATATAAAAGATCCATGTTATAAGTTTTTAATATTTCACATGAAAATAATTTTAGCTATTTATTGCCTAATATTAAAAATTAATTCTAATAGCTTATCGGTCATACATTCAATTATTTTATTTAAAAACACTTCTCTAAAACCTCCTAGCTCAAATTGGAAAAAGCTTTTGGTAACCAAACTCAGTGACATAATCAACAATGAAAATGCTTACAAGCTTGGGTGGGTCTGAAATTGCGACTTTGAGCAATTTTATCACGAAATATTATTTGATGGTTATTATTAATAAACTTTATTGTAAATTTAGTTTTATTAGTTGTTTTTACTAAGGCAATTTCAGTTTCCTTACACATGAAATCTTATTAATTAATTTGGTCCATAATCTTATTCAATTATTTTATAATGATAATTGTAACATCTATATTTAGTTTTAGTCATAATGATAAAACTAACGTTAGTTATGTACCTTTCTCTTTTATTTTTTTATCCAACCAACATTCTCTCTTTCTCAATTTATGCCCTTCATTTTCACTTGGAAAAGAAGGAAAAAAATCAAGGAGTGACAGAAATGAAGAAGGGCCCATGTAGGGCGGCCCACAGGCAATGACTCCACCTCCAGGTGTAGCGTGAGAAAATGAAAAGCCACCAACTTTTTCCCCTCCACCACGGTCAAACCAAAAGTCCAAATGAAAGAATCCATCCCCCCTCCACAGAATAAACAAAACCCCAAACGCCCATCCATAGGCCATAGCCATTGCCGAATTAATGCTTGTATGTATCATATTTTTTTTTCCAGAATTTTGATGATTAAAATTAATATTTTCGGTAAAATAATTAAAAATCTTTGTTGAGTTAAAAAGGGATAAATATTCAATATATTTTTACAGCGTGAAACCACAAACACAACAGAATTCTGATATAGACCACATAATATGGGTAGTCGAGAAAGGGTAAATTGCAAGTATTACTTATAAAGTTCACCTTTGCACTAAAATTAATTTATTTCATCCGTAGTCACTTAAATTAGTTCAATCGTTTAAGTTTGGTCACTCTCTCCGTTAAATTTTTTTGACGTGGCAGTGACTACGGATGGAATAAATTAGTTCAACCGTTTAAATTCGTTCAACAGAAAAAATTTAACGGAGAGTGACCAAACTTGAACTGTTGAACTAATTTAAGTAACTACGGATGGAATAAATTAATTTTAGTAGCAAACCTAAACTTTATAGGTAATTCAAGTGACCAAACTTGCAATTTAGTTGGGGAAAATGGACATGATTAGATGCTTTAGAAATCTCTTAAATGAAAAAATTAGGTAAAGATGCAAGCTTTAAGTTTGGGTCCTTTATAGATGACAGGGTTAATGAATAAGAATTAAGTTGCAAAGCATCCCTAATGACCTTTTCTCATAATATAATTGCTTTCTCACGGTGGATATTTTGGGGTGGTGATGACTGATGAGCAAGTAGGCAATGGTATAAAATAGTTGAGGAAAGTCTTTTGTCACGACAAAACACCTAATTTTGGGTTATTCACGTTATATTTACGGTATTCACGACATATTTATGTTATTTACGTCATATTTGCGTTATTCATACAATCAATATTATTAGGTCACGCCACCTTATGTTTATTCACGCATATTGTTAATTATTCACGCCGTTGTAAAATAAAATTTTAAATTTTTGAAATATGTCAAAATGAATGTCATTCTATAGATTATGATCAATACAACATATTTGCGCAGATTAAATGATAATCCAAATTTAATTCCATAAAATATAGCCAATACAAATTATTAGGGGGAAAAGGTATGAATTTCCATTTGCGTGAAAAACTTACACACTCTTACGTAAATCACCATAGTATTACGTGAATGAGCACAAAATGATGTGAGTGTTATAAAATGGCGTGAATGAACTGTTATTAGGTGTTCTGTCACCTAAAATGACAAGAGATCTTTTCCAAAATAGTTTATGTGGCCGGTGCGGGTGGGGCCAAAGAAGAGTGTAGTGTAGTGATGATGGAGTAGTAGGAAAAAGGGACCAGCTGATGTTATCTCCCTCCACCAACAAATGAAGATTGAAGAGGAGGAATATAATGTGTTCCACTATTTCATACTAATAATTACAATTATTGTTTGGCTACTATTTATTATCTGTGGGAAAACGAAAGGTGGGAAGAGAAATTATATATGAGTTTTGAATTCACGTATGATATATATTTGGGCAGGTTCATGCATGGTTGCCAAACAGGGGTATTTTGACCCATACATTCTTCTTCTTTGGCTTTCTTTGGCGAATTCCCTCTTCTGTACAGACTTTACTGTATCTTTCTTCCCACAAGAGAGAGTTCCAAGCAAGAAATTAAAAGCAGCAGCAGCAACAGATCACAATTCCCTTTCTGCTCTGTATCGAATCTGCAGCTCATCATCATGAGATTCGATGTATGGGTTTGGGTGGGTTCATTGTCGTCGTCTCGATCGAGATCTCACGTGACCCATATCTTCTGACCGACCGACGACCCATATCTCTGATTCTGGTCCTCATCTCCATCTCCTTCGGCTACGAGCTGCGTATGGCGGCTGTATATGTGGCAGTGTGGCTACCTACTTCACTCGTAATTGAATTGAAATTGGGTTGTATTGTAATAAGGCCACTGGTTTGGTTCGTTGGTTGACTCCACGAATTCTTGCTGGCTAGCTGTGTGACCATGATTAAGACCACTAATAACCACTCTAATTAAGTTCTCGAAACTGACTAATTGAGTTGGTGTGTTCCTAATTGAGTTTGACTTCTTTGGTTTTGTTTGAATTTCACATTTCAGATAAACGAGTATTCTGATTAGAGTTGGCGCGAGCAGTGGCGTAGTCAGGATTTTGGGTAAGGGGGTGCCAATTTAAAAAAATTAAAATGACTATCAATATTTTATAGTGACCCACGACGGGTTCTCATATTTTGAAAAGTCTGTAAAATACATTCATCATCAAGACTATCAAGAAGCTCGCTTGTTAGGGTTAAATTTTTGTTTACTTCTTGAATAAGCATATGTAATTATGAGGTTTTTTAATTTAATTTACTTATTATTTGTAAACAGTAAATTATATATATGCAATAAAACGTATTAGTTTATCATGTAAGTAATTGTGGTTTAGTGGAAGATGTCAAAGCTAATAGTAAGGGGTTCCACGTTCAAATCCTAGCTATAGCATAAACTAATACCCCTATTTTTTGATGTTTTAGCCCCGATCCAAGGGTGTGCCGTGGCACACCCTTTTAATACTGTGTCTCCGCCCCTGGGCGCGAGCGCGAATGATTTTGTTGGTTTCATGTGAAATGAAATATATTATATATCACGAAGTGTTATTATTGTAAGACGATAATGAGTTCCTAAGGCTAACATTAATTACTGTAAATACAAAAACTAAAAGAGCAATTGTCGGACGGACGGATCTATCTGATCTGATATTTGTTTTCAATCTCTCTCAATAGGTTCGGTAATCTCAACAATATATTGTTGAACTGAGAAACTATGCGAGCATTTGCCAAGCCAAATTTCGGATTCAAGTTCAACTCGATCAAACCTAATATAACGCGATTAATCAATTTCGGTTCTCTTCCGTAATTTCTTCGTTTTCATTCCACGAACTCTCTTTTAAAAAAATCAAGATGACAGTTCGAATTCGAATCAGACATACTTTTGATTAGAGATCGAGGCAGCTAAAATTCTCTTTATAATCATTTGGATTTTTTTTTTTTGTTACTGTAAAATGTTACGCTGTGTATATATCTAGACATTAATTTCTCTATGCTAGAGGGAAAAATACACGGCTCATCCACTCTCCTGTGGACGGATTACCAAAATGCTGAACCTTTCCCTTCTTTTTTTTTCTTTCTTTCTTCTGTAGTCTGTACCCTTACAATACTAGGCTTCACTCATTTAATTAAAACTGAGCTCCTGCTGTTACAGCACTCTGTTTGCCTGCAAAACCACTCTCCTCAGCTCATTCGCAATCCCTTGCAGCATAATCGGTTTCCTGATCACGCCATTCAACCCCATCTGCATGCACTTCTCCCACAAGTCGTCTTCGCCGCTCGACGTCATCGCCAGGATCAACGGCCAGCTCCGGCTCCTGAACTTCCTGATCTTGGCCGCGACTTCAAACCCGTCCAGGTCCGGGAGCTGCAGGTCGAGGAGCACGACCTGGAAGGTAGACGTGGCTGGGCCGATGAAGCTGAGGCACTCGTATCCCGACGAGAGAGGGGTGACCGAGCATCCGAGCTTCTCCAGCAGCCTGCGTGTGACGCTCCGGTTCAGATCATCCGACTCGACCAAGACCACCTGCAGGCCTCTCAAGAAGGAGTTGGAATTCGGGTGCTCTGAAGATGATTCGCCTGGTTCGGAGATGGTCAGGCTGATCGATTGCCGGAGTTGAAATCGTAGAATTAGTCCCATGTTCTGGACGAATCCTTTGTTATTCGGGACTACCCAGATGTTGCCTTGCATCATCTGCACATCCACAATGCAACTTGTTATTAGGACCTAAATGGTTGCTCTCAGTTCCCAACAAATTGAACCAACTCCCATATATTTCAACTATTCATATGTTAGGCTGGGAATAGTGGAATAGGAATCAGAGGTCAACTCAATTACAGTGCAACTTCCAACTGAAAACCTTACCATTAGCAACCAATAGTTCAAATTTGAAAATAGTAGCATCTAAACATCCCAAAATAAGAGCTCCAAATATTAGAAATAACATCAAAGAGCTTCCCAGATCAAGGTACTAATTACAAGAGTAAGAAGAAAGTATAAATATCATATTGCACTAGTAAATGTTGGCATCTACGGGTAATATGAACCTCTGGTTAACAATGTAGTTCAACAAACTTGAAACTAATATGAACTAGTCAAAAATTGGATCTCCTAAGCAGTTCATGTAAACACAGATTTGCAAATATATAGAGGCTACTAGTGGAAGGTCATACCTGGACAAGCTTTTTGCAAACGGTGAAGCTCAAGCCATGCTCAAATCCATCACTGGTGTATCTTCGACCACCGAGCTGCATAGCTGAAGTGGATGCCTCAGCTTCAGAACCACCAGAAGTTATTCCAATCTCGAATCTAATAGATACATCGCCCTCAGAAGGGCTGTGTCGCCACACGGCCCATCTCTGATCATTCCTCTCCTGACTCCCATTGTCAGCAACAACCCGAAGCAGCACAGATCCCCCTCTACTATTCCCATCCAGAAGATTGCCAATCATATGAAGAATCACTTGAAAGATCCTCCTCTCATCTCCCATCACATGATCAGGCAATGACCTGTCAACTTCCATTGAAAAGCTGAACCCCTTATACACACACAGGCACTTGGCAAGGCAAGCTGCTTCCGTGATCATTGAATGCAGCCCGAAAGACCTGGTGTCCATTGGAAACCTCCCACTATCCTTGGTCGAAATTTCCATCACATCGTCTATCAATATTGACAGCACATTGCTAGCTTTCATCATCGTATCTACAATTATCTGCTGCTCGCTATTTTTCAAACTTCCATCTTGCATCATGGACACCAACCCCAGAATCGAATGCATAGGTCTCTTCATTCCATCACTCATGACCTTTTGAAAAGCATTCCTAGCTTGACTGGCCATTAAAGTGTTCATCTTTGCCTGCTGCAATGCTCGATTCTGCTCCTCCAGTTTCTCCCTCATGAGCTGAGATTCTTCGAGGACAGCAGCATGGGAAAGAGCCACAGCCACCTGATCAGCCACTACTTTAATTATCTCAAGCTCTTGATTGCTCCAAGACCTAGGCTGATCACCACCTGGCAGAACCAACACCAAAATTGCATAGCAAGCTTGGATCATCTCAGGAGTCCCACCTTTGAAGTTGCAGACACGAAGCATTGGCATCCGAATTGCAGCCACGGGACCCACATGCTCGCCAGAAACCCCGCCGAAGCTACCAGCAGCTAAAGGCGAGTCAGGGCTTAGTATGTTAACGCCATCACTGCCCTTAATCCTCGCCACATCAGGATCAGATGTCGGTATCGTACAACTCTCCGCATTGCCATAATCTCCCCCATTCAACTCGTGTGTCAAATGCATCTCGGTCCTCATCTCATTAGGCATCCAAACCGCGCAGTTCTGCAACCCTAGGGTTTTGGAAAGCTCAACAAGTGTAGTGTACAGAATGGTGTGTCGATCCAGTGATTTCCGGATCTCCTGGGTAAGCATCCTGACATGGAGACCAGCCTCTCTCTGCTTCATTATCATCCCTACTTCTCTACCCAGATCCCAAGTCTTCTTCTTGAGCATGAACTCCCTGACCTTGACTTTCAACAGCAAAGGGATCAAGCTGAAGAGGGTGATGGCCGTGGCGCAGGAGACCAAGGCAGTTAGGATCTTGAAGACAGTGACTGCAACCATGAGCTGGAAAGTGTGCGGGCCGTAAGTCCAGCCATTGAGCAAGTGGGTCATCCCGCAGAGGACAATGAAGGCAATGAATTCGACGAGGACCCATTTGAATGGGACGTTGGAGCAGCTGATGAAGTAGAGTAACTCGATCGGGATTGAGAAATAGGCGACGGCGATCAAGAAATCTCCAACCCTTTGGCACTCCAGGATGCTCTCTATGCTCCAGAAGCTGCCCTCGTCGTCGCAGTTGCATCTCGGGTAGCCGTTGTCGCTGTCAGCGGCGACGGAGGATGCCGAGAAGAGGAGAAAAGTTATCAGCAGCAGCAGCAGCAGCCCAGGAGATAATGATTTGAACATTGCGGCCAGATTGGGCTGCCGGCTTTGTTTCAATCCATTTGGGGAAAATCAAAGGCAGTCCAAAGTTCGAATCTTTCAACGGTATAGTTACGATCAGAATAGCAGCAGGCAGCAGCTACCCAGTTTTGACTATGGCGGCTAGAAAGGAAGAAGAATCAATCAAGAAGAAGAAGAGGAAATCTCCCACCCGCCCTTCAATTCCTCACCTTTTCCACCTCCTGACAAGGAAAAAGGCAAAACCTTTTTAGAATTCCAATTCCAAAAGAAAGAAATAAACCAGAACAGTAATCCTTGTAATTTAAGCAATACCAAAATTGGGGATCTAAGAAGCATTGAATCCAACCCAATTGCCAACCAGAAAGATTTTTCCCCAAGTTCATAACTACACGGCATAACATCTGCCTTATCAAACTGCTACCATTCCACGAATTGTCCCTCTTTTTCATTACAGCCAAAAAGGAAAACGCAAACTTGGATAGCTCGCTCGCAATAGAAGGAAGACGGCATTTTCCCTCAATCTAAGCAGAATTATATAAAAAAATAAAATAAAAAACGGAGAAGAAGACCCAGTACAAGTGGAAACGGAAGGAAACATTTCCACTTGCCATAAAGCCAACCAGCCGGCTTCAACCCTTTTCTTTTTCTTTTAAATTTCGTCCTTCCTCCTTCCTCCATTTCCCCATCCAGAAACAGAGAAATGGACATGCTAGAAGAATCCAACCTACCCAGAAGAAGGAGAAGGAGAAGAAGAAATGCAGGTTGTGAAAAGAAGGAGCCGTACCTGGAGAAACGAAAAAAAAATTTCCCAGATAACAAATCAAAAGTCAGAGACCCATAATCAGATCTTCTCCTCCGCTCTGTTTTTTTCTTTCTTCTTCCCCAGTCATGCAGAGTGTGGCCGGCTCTCTCTCTCAGTCAAGAGGCTTAATACAGAGGACAGTTCAGCTCTCTTTTGCGTTACAGTACTTCACACATTTTATACTGGAATTATAATAAACAAAACCCAAAAAAGAAAAGAGAGAGCTAATCCAAATCCAATCCGTAATCCCCAACTAATAAACATATACAAACCCAAAATAGAAAAAAAAAGGAGAGAAGAAGAAGAAGAAAGAAAAAAAAAGGAACAAGCACCCGGTTTTACAGAGGTGCAAAGACAAACTCAAGAGTACTACAAACTAATAATAAATATTAAGCCGCCGTGGCACGGTGCTCGCTGCCATTTTTTTTTAAAACTCCATCATCGCAAAACCCAATAATAACAAATAATTTAATAATTAAGAGCGGATCTAAGAGACTATCTGTGTGAAAATCTAGTGTTCTTCCTTTCCTCTCTTCCCTAATCAAATTTCGAAAGTAAAATAATAGTGAATGAGTGAGCGAGGGAAAGGAGAGGGAAAGAAAAGTTTCCCCCTTTTTTTTTCTTGTGCTGGTGTTTGTTCCGGCCAGCGCCGTTGTTTTGTTCTTCTGGGTTTTACCGTTTTAGAGAGAGAGAGAGAGAGGAGAGAGAGGGGACAAAGGGGAGGAGAAAGTGGGTCCCGCGGGGGTGAGAGCATACATGTACATGAAGCGAATTTGGACGGGCTTTTGAAAGGAAACGTCCTCGTCAAGCCCGAAAAGATTAGTTTTTTATTTTAAATTTCCCACCTCTTCACTCTTTCTCTAATTAATTACTCTTATACTTATTCTGGGACGTTTCTTTCCTGGTTTGCCTTTTCTCGTTTTTAATGCTTTTTTTTTTTTATGGAAGCTTTTTTTTTTCTTCAACCTTGTTACTTATTGCGTATTGTAATTTCGTTGATGAGTATGCAATTAATCTCCTTTTTCTCCTAGCCTTTTCGTTAATGCTGGTTCATCTTCTTGTGATAAGGACTTTGTTTTTGGGGGGAACACAATGGGACCTCTTTTGCTGAATGTGAATGAATCCGGTACCAAAAGGTGTAGCACATGGTAAAAAGAATACGTTAGTAGGTGCCACTCACTGGAATTTTTTCCCCTCCAATTGGTGTACTCATGTCATTTGATTTGACTTTGTAGCGTGGATTTGAGTATCGAGTTGGTAGCAATTTCGTTAAATAGTTTTGTATTTGTGCTAAGTCACATTCGGTGCAAAACAATAGTTAAATGTGTCGTGAGGTTGATTCTCCTTTACTTGAAAGGTTCTTATATAGGAGAGCTTACAAGTAATGTTTTGCATGTCACTTCGTAATCAGTTGCTTATAAATATACATAGAGGAGTTTGTGTCAAATACTCGTACCCCAACAATTAGGGGTGGCTACCTTATAGAGAGGTGTGTCACCTATGTGAGAAATTTTGTGAGAAATTCCGATTTTTTCGGTATACAATATTTGAATACGAGACATTTGACATACCTCCGATAATCATAACTGACACACACTCATTATACTACAAGAAATTTGTTATCATAAAATTATGAAAATATGTAAAGATAGGATTTATCGCACTTCATATTAGATAGGTAATCAGTTGGTTGTACAAGAGTTAAAAAATAAATAACTACTTAGTAGTAGTGAGTATTTAGAGACATAACTATCACTTTAAAGATAATCATGATCGAATGAGAATTAAATTGATTAATAAACGAATTGAGTCAATTGATTGTCCAAGATATTGCAAGAAGGCGAAAGCAAAGAGATTCTAATTTAGTTATTGCTTTATATTTAATTTATACAAAATCACTTTTGTTCTTTTCAGTTCCTTAGTTTTAATCATCAATTATAGAGTTGTGCTTATCTCGGTGGCACGATACTTATTTTTATTTACTCGATTGATAGTTTACGCACACATTATATCGCATCACTTCTCCTTTTTTTATTTAACAAAAATGAAAATTCATTTCCACTTACATTCAAAAAACATGATCATCCCCTTACCCCGATTAAATTCACATTTCTTCCTCTCGCTTTCTGTTTGGTCATTGGGGAGTGTCGAGGGGAAAAAATCTTCAACTTCTGTCTCGCAGCTTTCTTCCCTCTGATTGTTAGCGTCGAGTCAACGAAACCTCCATTCTCGTTCAAACTTCTATGTTGACGCCTACCGCCACCCTTGCAGCTTTCCTATCTTAAGTAGTGCTGACTTTACCTCTTGCAACTGCATGCTGCGAAATGACCTTTTCATATATTAACTTAATCAAGAACGATCTTCGAGACCATTTGAGTAAAAAGAATTATATATAATTATCTAGTTGTGTGCTTAAAAAAATATTTGATTTGCAACATAAGCCAAAACATTAATTAAGAAACTTTTATAATATGAAATTTCATCGTGGTTTGCTGTGAAAAACAATAAAATTGTGAATTTTATGAATGAAATTTTATATTATTTTTATCAGCCGACACACCTATACAAAAATCATGGTTTCGCCATTAATCGTCACCAAACACGTGGTCAGTAATTAGTAGTCGTCTGTTTAAAAGCATGTAGTACCGCAAAAAGTATTCCCCATGAATAAAGAAGTCGAGAAGAAAATTAGCAATGAAGATTTGACTCCCATCAAGACCAAGGAGGAGGTCATACCTCTGGAAATCAAAGGAATCAACCCTACTTCCACAAGCAAGACGATTCAAAAGGATAACCGAAAAAGTGAAGATTTCCAGAGATTTGAAACTTCTTCTCAATTTTTGGAGCATTCTTAAATAGCTTCACCATAAGGAAGTCAAGGAGACTAGGAAGCACTTCATAGAAAAGGGGAAAACCAAAATTCCACTTCTTAGAATTATAGACTCTCTGGATGGTTGTAGAGTAGACTACCCATCGATTGGTAGAGGGCAGTCGTGAGAGGAAGAATTGCTCAAATTCTGCAAAAGGATAGAATGGGCAGAGTGAAGGGGGATGGGAACAATCCAATGCACTTGATGTTGGGGAAACTAGCAGTGCACACCACCATTTCTTGCATTTTGTTGGACAATGGTAAGATATAGTAGTCATAAACTCATAATAGTGTGTCCATGAGTGTGTGCATAAAACGAGGACTATCTTCATATGTTACTTTCTCAAATCTGACTTCTTGACTAGATGAGACTGGACACGACAGTATCTCGCGATCGATGATCAATCGATCAAACAACGTCGACTTCCTAAAGGGAGAAATCCATAGGATTCAATATTGTTGCCTATTACACCAGGCATTTGTTAATAAACGGTATATGATCCACAATTGAACTTCTTCCAACAAATTGAGTTATTGAGACAGCTGGTTTTTGACATGTTATTAGAGCCTTATGTGACTGAAAGGTCTCCTATTTGAATCTTGAGGACCCTCATATATTTTTGTTAAGCACATGGTGTCCAAACATGTTCTTGTGCAAACTCCAAGCCTATTTGAGTGGCTTGAGTTTGAGAGAGTTTGTTAATAAATGGTATATGATCCACAATTGAACCTCTTCCAATAACTCGTGTTATTTGTCTAACTAGTTCTTGACATCATTTGCTACAACATATGGTAGGAATAAATCTAATAAAGATCAAACATCTCATATGTTGTCAAGATCAAGGTTGTGGGTCAATGCAACCATAGGGAGAGTTTGGCTATGCAACACTTCACCCTTCTGTTTCCTTCAACGGTCCTTAGTTTAAATTTACTTTTCCTGCATAGTTGTCTTTTCCTTTTCCGTTTTGTTAAAATCAATGGGAACTTCAACCCCTGAGGAACCTCAACCTTAATATGCTCATTTGAAACCATGGAACTCGTCCCTCGCTGCCTGGGTAAGTGGTTGTGAGAGACCCTAGGACATATGTTTCTGGTCCAAGGACTAGGTAAATTTCATTCATATACTACACACGATAAAAATCAGTATGAAAAAAACTAAGAGGGCAAAAAGCTCTATATTTTTTAATCACTTTAAGGAACTGCAAACATAATCAGATGAACAGTGCAAATATGCAAGAATACTTACCCACCATAAGTTCAAGTGATACAACAACAATGACGAGGCATATAATTGTGTGTCATTTGAAACCCTCAACCCTTATTGAGAGAAAATGCACAATAACAACTCAACCTTTCAACAACTATTGAGCATGCTGAAAGTGTCATTTTCGTGCGTAATTTCAAATATGATCAATCGAAGGTGCACGAGATCATGTCTCATTGCTTCATAGTGCACGAAATGCCTTGTTGTTGGGAACCATTTGTCCAAAATATCAAAAAAATCAGTTGTACTACTATCCAAACTAATGTTTTCAAAACATATGGTATCCATAAAGAAATTTTAAGAAACTTCTCGTAAGAGTGACTATGATGAGTTTGACTACTGAGTTGTGGGAATCTGTTTAAATTTTGGGTTATATGTTGTTTCTTGTCACTTTGTTGATAATGATTTCAAGCTCCAAAAACGTGCTCTTAATTTTTGTTATGCCCCACTATCTCATACCGAGGCTGCTATAGCTTATATGCATTACAAACATGTTTAACTAGTTGGGATGTTGAGGGAAAAGTGTCGACAATTACAGTTGACAATGCTTTTTAGAATGTCGTAGTTGTTGTTATTAGAAATATAAAAGAAACCTTTAGTTTTGAAGGTAGGCTTCCTCTTCATGGAGAAGTGTTTCATGTTAGATGTTGTTCATATATTGCCAATGGGGTTGATTTTATTAATGAGGTCAAAATAGTTTATTATAAACTTTTCAAAGAGTATGTTGAGGACTATAAAGCCCGGAACATTGAGAAATCATCTGAAGCGGATGGTGACTCAGTTTCTTATACTTCTATTGCTGCTTCTACCACTTCAAGTGTAGCAGGAAGAAGAAGAACATGCATGACAAAGTTTGATTCTATGATTCAAAATGTTAATTATGTTACATTAACAAAATCAAATTTGGATTTTTATCTTGCAGATGGTTTTTACGTTTGTGTCGACAAATTGTAATTTTGATGTTATTGAGTGATGAAAGCAATAAAGAATGAGGTATAAGGATTTTTGAAGGATGGTTAATACATCATTATGGTTTGAAAAGGAGGCTTAAGGTAATTTTGAACTTACTTTGTGTGTTCCAATTTCGTAAAATTACCTGTGATTTAACATTATCCCCTTTTCTCTTTGCAGACATCGACCTAAAAAGAAGTCATTGTTGAACTAAACTTTTTATTTTCTTAGTCGTGATATAGGTCTACTGTTTGTAGTTAGGTACTACTTAAGTGATTCAAACATGAGACCTCTAGATTCAATGTTAGTGGTATTACCACTAAACCAACCCCTTATTCGTAGACTTTACTTAATGCAAAGTTTCTATTTATTTTTCTTCTTTTAGACTCTTCCTAATTTACTTTTAAGACTACTATAAAATAATATGTGCTAGTAACATTGTTCAAGAAGACACTGGGAGCCATCTAGGCGAGGAGGCACCGCCCAGCGCCCAGGCTGATTAGTCGTTTCCTAGGTGAGATTAAACTCCAAAAAAAATATAAATATTTAAGTTTAGACTGCAAGATCAAACATAACATTCATAAGTTCACTGATTTGCAGCTCTATAACTGACAATATTCAAGATAACAATCATTCAAGTTGTAACATAGAAGGAAACACACATAATAAAATATGATAAATGTTAAGATAAGCCATAAAGATGATGACAAGCTAATAAACTCCAAGTTGATCACTTATCATCTTCATCCATATAGTTCTTGTTAACCACAACATCCTCCTCATCTTCCTCGAAATGAATGGGCTCACTTTCCTCACCATCTTCTTCTTCAGACTCAAACTCCTCATCGGCACGATCTCTCACTAATTTGGCACTCCTGCGAGGTTGAAGATTCTCACTAGCTCCCCTTGCCTCATCAATAACATTCCATGGGATGCCATCGAAACCTTCATCATCTTCATCACCAAACACATGCAAAGTGTGACTATCTCCTCCCTCAAATAGAAAACCTAGTGCTTCAATTGAATCAGAACTTATGAGAACATCAACATTCTTCCTCTCCTTTATCTTCCTTTGTTTGGACATCAATCTAGAGTTGAACTGGATGTACACTAGTTGATTTATGCGACTTGTAGTAAGCCTATTCCTTTTCTTGGTATGAATCTGCAAGGACAATTGATTATATAAGCTTGCATCTAATATCAACTTTTACTATATAGCATATGGACACAAATTCAAAACTACTAACCGACTCAAAAGTACTCCAGTTTCTCTCACAAGCAGAAGAACTTGAGGTCAATGGCATAATCCTTACATCCATCTTTTGCAAATGAGGTGTCTCACTTCCATACATTCTCCACCAAGCCACTAAGAAACTAATTAACTCTAAGTTAGTGAACGAGACTAAATCATTATTTACAAGGAAATGTGGAAAGAAGTACTAACCAAGATTGTAGTCAAAGTTTACACAATTCTTTGCCATCTTCTTTCCTAAGAGTCCTTGTTTCCTTTGAAATTTTGTGAACTCAATGTTCACCACCTCATCATGTATATAGGGGTGTTCAAATGGTTACTATGGTTATTACCAAACCAAATAAGGCTAGATTTCATTAACCATGGAATAGAATATCATAATCAAACCGTCCAAACTAATATAACAACCAAATTAACCAAACTAAAGTTTAATCGGTTTGGTTAATTGGTTAACCAGATTAACCCATATAAAATTACATTATCATTAAGTGAGAAAATTTTCGGTTAATTTATTAATTCACAATTTATATAATGAATAAAACATAACATGCAACACTTGGTTATAGTTAATGAATTGTGGTGTTTGTATGAATTGTGGTGTTTGTATGAATTGACTAGTCTTTTAGCAATTTTCTGAGGTTGAAAAGGACATTGCTTTCAAGTTTTCATCCAACATCATGTATGAGATTTATCCAAATTAGGCGTTCATATGTTGTGGTCTACACTCTACATATACAAATATACATTATAGGAATAATATCAAGCTTTATATTTTATTAGTCTAAAAGGGATGAACGTTTAACTCTTGAGTGCTTATTCAAAGTATTAAGTATGTGTATATATTAGATATATGACTAATTATTTATCTGGTTAATTTGGTTTGACTGGTTAGGAGTGTGTGAAACCAAACCAAACAAGCTCAAAACTTCAACCAAACCGAACCAATTATCCAAATTAACCAAGCCAAATTATCCAAATAGTACTGGTTAAAATGGTTACCATGGTAACCACACCATTTGAACACCCCTACATGTATATCCTCATCACAACCATGGTAGAATTGCTCAACACATGTGAGCAATGCTATTGTAATGTCAACATTGTCAAATATTGTGGAGTCGACATAACTGTAGTGAGGATTGAGAAGGTATGCCGTTAGATGCAATGGAGCATCAAGTCTGCCTCTCATCTTCTTCTCTACAATATCAATGACTTATTTGTAACGAAGTTCTTCATTCTTAAACGCCTCCTTTATCTCTCTCTTTGCCTTCAAAAGTTTACCATACACAAAACCCATAGAAGGTTTCACATCCCCATCCACTAATCAAGAAGCTTCACCAATGGCTCAAAGACTTTCAAGAAAACTTCCACACCATTCCAAAACATAACACTAAGAATCGTGTCATAAGCCTCCTTGCCTTTCTTTGAACTCGTGTCCTTAATATTTTCCCACTTCGCATCCACCACCATCTTCATCAAAGAATCTTTCTTATCCAACAAACTTTGTAGTGTAAGAAATTGAGAAGCAAATCGAGTCACACATGGTCGGATGATCTCTCTCTTTTTGGTGAAGGATCTCATGCATTCCAAGGTGCGGTGGTGGCCATATATGAAGATGGTGAACCCCTTAGCTTGATCTACAATTTTCTTGAACCTTGGTATGTTGCTGATTCCTTGGAGCATCAAATTGATGGTGTGGGTTGCACAAGAACTCCAAAACATGTTTGGCCTCTTCTCCGACAAGAGGGCCTTTGCTGCCATTAGTTGGAAGCATTGTCTGTCACCACTTGCACCAAATGTTCAGCTCTAACTTCCTCGATTGCATTGTCCACTAGCTCAAAGATTACTTCACCTGTGTGAGAAATCGCTGATGTGTCCTTCGACTTTATAAAACTGGTTCCCTCGGCACAATGTGTGACTATGTTCATGATGCTTCTCCTCTTCATGTCTTTCCAAGCATCAGTCATAATAGAGCAGCCATTCTTTTCCTTCTCTGCCTCTCGATCACTTAACAAGCTCTTAGTCCTTGCATACTCAGCTTTCAACAAAGGCTCTCGAAGCTCATACTGTGTAGGAGGCTTCAATCCAGGACCAAATTGACCAATAGCCTCAACCATTTGCTTGAACTCATCATTCTCAATGGCATTGAATGCAACAGCTACAAAATAAATTCAGGACTAAATTAGAAAAACAAACTTGTGCATCTAAGAAAGAAGTAAAGGGTATAGCTATGCACTAACCATGTGTGTACACCCATTTTGCAATATATTGATGGACTTGAAGTGTCCTCTCATTAAAAAGTGCTTTATTTATCTTTTGTTGTTGAAATGATGCATTCGAAGACAAGCTAGAATCAATGGCACATGCCCACTTCTCTATAGGACCTAACTTGTGAGGTTCAGAGCTACCTGCACAAGTAAGGCCTTCTTCCTGTTGTCCACCGGAAGAGAAATTAACATCACTTCTCAAACCTAGCTCACGAACAACCTTCTCATTCTCCTGCTTCTTCTTTTCTGTTCCTTCCAACCATTTCAAGCATGCTTGTTTAGCTTCATTTGGGCAAATCCTACACTTGGCAACTCCACCACCAACCTGAGCAATGTGTTTCTTGAAACGGTTAATTCCTCTTGTGTTTACATTCTTGCAAAAGTTACATATGACTCTATCCTTGTTGTTTGGATCGACAAGCTTTCCATATTCCCAACCAATATCATCAGACTTCCTCTTCAAGGAGTTCGCATTTTCAACCGCCGAAGCCGTGACAGTAGCCTCTGTCTCCTCCATTTAACAAATCACAACCAGCCCCTGTAATCGCAAAACAAATCAGTAGCAGTCCTTAAACTATCACGTGAACAACCAAGCAATCGACTAACACAAATCAGCAGCAGTCCGAAAAATAAAAAATGAGCAGTTGTCCTAAAAAATAAAAACAATCAAAACTCTCAAGCAAGCATTCCAAAAAACAGGGGAAATCGAAGGAGAAAGAAGCAGGCATTTCCACCCCCCAAAACCGTCTTCTCCAGCAGGCCTTCAATAGAGGATTAGAGGTAAATTTTGAGAAATGAAAAAGATAGAGCTAGGCCAGCAAGACCCTAGACAGATCGAAGCTCGAAGGAGAAAGAAGCAGTACCTTCAATGGAGGGAACTTCTTTTGGAGACCGGCGGCGAGAACGAGGCGACGAGGGGAGGCGGCGACGACCCCCTGATTCTCCAAAGTTGTCTACTTCGTTGGCGAAAGAAGAGGACGAGGCAGCGACTTTAAATGACGACGATCTGCTAGGTGGAGAGGAACGCCAACGGTCGATTGGTTGGAGAGGCGAGAGAGGGACGACGGCCGACTGGGTGGAGAGGAGGGAGAAGAATGATGGCGGTCAGCTAGCTGGAGAGAAGGGAGAGCGGCGGCGGCGGTAGAGACTAGAGAGGGAGAGCTTCTCGTGTCTGTTGCGATTGGAAAATGGTAATTGGAGATAGGGTTTTTCAGGCCTTCCTCCTAAAACGCACAACACCGAAAATTAATCTCCCTCTTCTCTTTTCTGGGCGTCACCCAGAAGTCCAGAATCGCGATTCCCCACCGTTAAACGCCGCCTAGGCATTTTTTACCGCCATTCCACGTTTTCTAGGCCCAGCCCTAAACTCCAAGTATTCTCCATGCCCAGCTATGAATCGCGCATAGGCGCGTCTCTTGAACACTAGCTAGTAATGTGAATCTTATGTGCCGTTTTTAATTTTACATCTCGCTTTTGCTCCACTTTTAGAACCTAGGCCAAATTATGTAAGTGCCCCATCATCGCTCATATGAGTATATGTGTGTGCAAAGACTTCAATTAACAAATAGGGGGCGATAAGATGAGAAGCTGTGTGATATATTTCTTTATCCCTTTGTAGGAGCCTAAAGGTTCTTTTTTGTGTAAGACTATGCATCATGGGGATGAAGAGCTTTTGAAGTCATACATGATAACCACTTCAATGTAGTTTTGCTCTAATTTCTAAATTCTAACTTGATTTCAGATAAAAACTGTTATTTTGAAGATACAATAAGAAATCAAGTCATGGATGATTGTAAAGAGATATTGTTAAGGTTTACACGGTTATATTCTGTGTTGCCCAACCTAATTCGAATTGAGCTTGAGCTTTGTTTGAGTCGACCTCGAGTTTTGTTCACGAGTTGAGCTTATTGATATTGTTCATGAACTATTTCGAACTCAAGCTAAACCAAGCTCGAGCTTTCTATTTTTGTAACTCATATCGAGCTCAAGTTTTGACTACTGCACTCGAGCTAAGATTAGTAAAACTAGACTCAATTCTGTTCATTTGTAGCCCCGGAGAGTAAAGGTTGCTCATTTCACATTTGGGGATTTGGGAATGGATTTGTAGTCAACAATTAAAGAATGGATTAAAATTTAGGGAGAAATGGGTCGTGTGGGCTGTGAAGAAAAGTTTTGGTTTCTTGTTGGGTTTGGTCCGTTTGGACATGGGTGAAGCCCAATATGGATATGGGTTTATGGATAGTGGGTTTAAAGCGGGTGGGCAAAAGTCCACGATGCTATTTGTGGGTGGGTGAGGTATTACAGGAAAGGGAACGAGAGGAAGATGGTTGGTCAGATGATCAGATCACAGATGGAGATGGGTGCAGATTCGAAATTGGTTGGGTAACTTTCGGTTCAAGATAGGGTGAGTAATTTTAGGGGGAACCGATCAGGTCACTAACCTTATGGTGAGTAACTATGAGTAATCCGCCCACATCAGCATGACATCAGCACCCTCTCTCTCATGGAAAGCCTTTAATTTTCTCCTCCTTAATCTTTGATGGACGATTTCTCACTCGTTTTAAGTCGAAATTTAATTTTTTTGCACAGTTAGATCAGATTAATTGTGCTCTTCAAAATGATATCCACTTTGATATATTTTTCGAACAAAAAATATTGAGTCATTTTTTACCAGTCTATACCATATGGTATTGACTTGTATTGAAATAAGAGCATACCTATGGTTTGAAAAGCGTACCATGGTGGTATGACACAAACCAAAACTGTAGGATGGTTGAATACATGATAGTAGAAGTATATTAATTGTCATTTACGACTTTTAACATTGTATACCATAAGATACCACCCCGTATCAGGGTGGTATTGTATGGTATTGTGTGGTATTTTTTGGTCTTGTAATTTGTTCACCCAGAAATTTATAGATCCACTAGATCATGATGAACTCGTCCCTGCTGTGCAAACGTTTTCAAAAACGAAGAAGATACCATATGGTATGCAGTTGGTACCGAGAGGCCAGAATTTTTTTTTCCTAAAAAAATATTGAAAATTGATCTCATTTTGTAGAGCACGATGAACTCGTTCCATCTGTGCAAAAAAAAAATAAAATCCGAGTTAAAACAAAAAAGATATGAGTCAATTAAGAAAGCTAGTGAAAATAAAAACGACCTTTAATTCTCCATCCTTAGATCTGGATTTTCTAAATGAAGGGTCAAGATTTGGTTATTGATGGGTGCATAACCATGGGTTATGCACCCTAACTTGAGCCATCTTAGGGTGAGTAACAATGAGTAACCAAATCTCGACCCTATTTTTAAGTGTCTGCAGATCTAAGGGTGGAGAATTAAATGAATTTATTTTTCCTAATTTTCTTAATTGGATCATATCTTCTTCATTCTAACTCGGATTTCAATTTTTTTTTGCACAGATGGAACGAGTTCGTTGTGCTCTACAAAATGATATCCATTTTCAATATTTTTTGAGAATTTTTTTTTCATCCCTCTCGTTACCAACTCCATATCATATGGTATCTCCTTCGTTGTTTAGTCATTTTCGGAAATTTTTGCACAAAAGGAAAGATTTAATCATGATCTATTGGATTTCAAAATTTTCTGGGGGGAAAAATTTCAAACCTCTCATTACCAACTCCATACCATACTATACCACCCTGGTATGAGGTTGTATTTTTCATACCATATGGTATACTGTTATTTAATACCATATGATATTGACTGGTATTAAATAACAGCATATGGTATTGACTGGTATTTTCATACCATATTGTATGCTGTTATTTAATACTAGTCAATACCATATGGTATTGACTTATACCATATGGTTATTGACTTATACCATATGGTATAGACTGGTAATAATTGACAAATTTTTTTGTTCCAAAAAAATATCAAAGTGGATATCATTTTGAAGAGCAAAATTAATCTGATCTAACTGTACAAAAAAAAATTAAATTCCAAGTTAAAACGAGTGAGAAATCGTCCGTTAAAGATTAAGGGAAGGAAAATTAATGATTTTTCCATGAGGGAGAAGGAGGAGATGATGTGGCAGATTCTTATTGGGTTACTCACCACAAGGTTACTCACCACAAGGTTACTCACCGGATCTGCTCCCGTAACTTTCGCCGCGGCATGGGAGCAGATCCGGTAAGTAATCTTGTGGTGAGTAACTCCATGCATAACCCAATAAGAATTTGCCACATCAGCCCCTCCTTCTCTCTCCTGGAAAAATCATTAATTTTATTTCTCTTAATCTTTAACGGACGATTTCTCACTCGTTTTAACTCGGAATTTAATTTTTTTTTGCGCAGTTAGATCAGATTAATTGTGCTCTTCAAAATGATATCCACTTTGATATTTTTTGGAACAAAAAAAATTTGCCAGTTATTACCAGTCTATACCATATGATATTGACTATACCATATGGTATTGACTGGTATTAAATAACAGCATACCATATGGTATGAAAAATACCAGTCAATACCATATGTTGTTATTTAATACCATTCAATACCATATGATATTAAATAACAGCATACCATATGGTATAAAAAATACCAGTCAATACCATATGTTGTTATTTAATACCATTCAATACCATATGGTATTAAATAACAGCATATCATATGGTATGAAAAATACCACCTCATACCAGGGTGGTATAGTATGGTATGAAGTTGGTAACGAGAGGTTTGAAATTTTTTCCCCCATAAAATTTTGAAATCCAATAGATCATGATTAAAGCGTTCCTTTTGTGCAAAAATTTCCGAAAATGACTAAACAACGAAGGAGATACCATATGGTACCTTCAAAAAAAAAAAAAAACGAAGGAGATACCATCTGGTATGGAGTTGGTAACGAGAGGGATGAAAATTGTTTTCTCAAAAAATATTGAAAATGGATATCATTTTGTAGAGCACAACGAACTCGTTCCATCTGTGCACAAAAAATTGAAATCCGAGTTAGAACGAAGAAGATTTGATCCAATTTAGAAAACTAGGAAAAATAAATTCTTTTAATTCTCCACCCTTAGATCTGTAGTTACTTAAAAGAAGGGTCCAGATTTGGTTACTCATTGTTACTCATCCTAATGTTACTCACCCTATCTTGAGCCCGCGACATGAGCGTTTTTTCTGCAGAACTTGCCATCCCTTAGTAGAATATAATATGAAATTAACTTAATCACGGTTTGGTTCAATTATTAGATTAAATATACGATTCGGTAAGAATTGTACCAAAAGCAAAAATTTCTCAAATTCAAGAATCAAAATGAAATCAAAAGATAGATAATTCGGTTTGAGAGTCGATTCGGTCTATACTGGTCCAATGTAAACTGAAGCACGGAATACTTCTAGTTGTATGGTAAACTAAATCACTTTATCGAAAGCTAATAGAAATACCGAAATACCGAAATACCAAGAAATACCGAACTTTAAAAATTAAAAGAAATATAGAACACAACTTTTAGTCATTCCTCACTCTTTCACAATTTAGAAGCCCCCATCCAACTCAATTTTGACTTTCCAGTTTAAGTAACTCTCGTTTCTCACATAATCTCTTGTTATTTTCATAACACAAAAAAACAAACACTAGTATTAGTCGTCTCTCAGCCTCCAATTCATCAAATTAAAGATAACCAATGACAAAATTTTGAGATGTCACATCTTCTTCATTCTCTTTATCCATATCCTAAGTCTAAGCAAACTCAAGACGCTTTGCTTAGTCTCTTTGCCCTAAATTAAACAATCAAATCTAATTTATATATTTAATTACAAATGTAATTAATTTCTTATTCTATAATACCAATTGGGAGACCGAAGTACCTATTGGGATACTGAAATATTTAGGGATTGGAATTGAGATACCGAAATTATTTAGAGATTGTGATTGATTTTAGGGTGTAATTTGGTATTCGGGATTTCGGTATTTGGTATTAGAATACCAATACCGTACTGATTTTCAACCCAACCTGCGGGCATGAGAGCTTTTTTCTGCGGAACTTGCCATCCCTGAGTAGAATATAATATGAAATGAACTTGCCATCTCTTCCTCTTGTGTCGTTTCTCTCGCGAAGTGTGGAAGGGGATGAGCACTTTTGTTCCGATTCAAGATCAGTCCCAAGACATTGTCAATACCATCAGATCTTGGCGCTGCAGTGCTGCCTCCAATCCGCAGGAGTGGTGCGCGAACATCTTCTTACATGCTTTCTGTTGGCGGATTTGGCTGGAGAGGAATGCTCGGATCTTTAGAGATGATTATTGTTCGATTCGAGGAACTTGCTTTAGAATCATTTGCAGCATTCATGACTGGCTTTGCGCCTCGAGCAGGGTCGACAGGGCTGTTGCTGACCAGTGGCGGTGCGTGGCCAAGGATCGGCTCTTCCCGAGCTCCCTTGCGGCTGGTGACGAGGGTTCTGATCGGTTTTCATTGACTGGATTTCAGTGACGTTGCTTTTGCTTGGTCCCTGTTACCTCGCGTTCGTTTGTATCCTGTTCTTTCTGCTGGTTGCCTTCTGGTTTTTTCTATGCTGCAGTTTTGACCTTGGTCGCTGTTTGTTTGGCTTACTAGAGCAGGGTTTCCTTTTTTCCTTTTCCTTACCTTCTTTGTAACTACTTCGTTTATTATTTAATCTATATCAACATTATCAAAAAAAAAAAAAAAATTAACTTAATCACGGTTTGGTTCAATTATTAGCTTAAATTTACGATTCGGTATAAATTGTACCAAAAGCAAAAATTTCCCAAAATCATGAACCAAAATAAAAAATCAAAAGATAAATAATTAGATTTGGTCCGAGAGTCGATTTGATCCATACTGGTCCAATGTAAACTGAATAACGGATTACTCCTAATTCTATGGTAAACTAAATCACTTTATCACAAGCTAACAGCACTATAGAAGGTAATATGGAGTGAACAAAAGAAGCAAAAAAAAAAAAAAAAAAAGTTTCTGCTATCTCCAAACGTAAATAGGCTTCAATTTTTGTGAATTTCAATTGATACATATTTTTTGGTTGTTTAAAATTGTAATTAACTAACAAAATAAACTCATCATAATGTGCCAACCAGGAGTTTGAACGAATTGGCTCCAGCCTAATTGCCTAAACAGCTAAACTTAATTGGATTTGGAGATTTTCAATCCAATATCTGAAACTAATTTGAGCACAAATTGATATTGGGGAAATCAAATTCTTATTTGATACGATTGAATCCTGATTACTTATGTGATCAATCTGATTTATTTAAAAATTTGATGTTTCGATTGCTAACAAACAAGTTTCTACTTTCCAGGCCTGATTTATGTTTATAATCGAACCAAAAAAAAAAAAAAGATTTTATGTTTTAATAATCTTCGCTCGAAGAAGGATATATATTATGTTTTAATAATCTTCGCTCGAAGAAGGATATATATTATATATACATATAGAAACTAAAAAAGCCAAAAGGATTTGACCCTCACGCTTAGATTCCTAAGCCAAAGCAATGCAGAGTCCATTGGACTCATCATTCCAACGAGAAAAAACTACCTACCCAAGGTAATTTATATATGTATTCACATGAGATGATGAAAGCTAAGTAAAAGAGCTAGTTGACTTGCAGTACATAAAATCAAATACAAATACCATCATCATTCAAAAGTAGCCTTTGGCAACTATGGTAACTCTAAATAAAAAGAGACCCTAAATAATAATTAAAAACAAATGAATTAATTAACTTTTTCCAGGATATAACACGGGAATTAAAAAACACGGAAATTAAAAAAGGTGGCCAATACGAGAAGAGTTCTTCCACAGTACCGCCACTGTATTCGTACTAAACTGGGATATATGTATATATAGTGGATAAAAGTGAGAACGTGCATCAAAACTGGCCCGCAAGCTAACTGACGAAGGAGATAGTCTGCAGCTAAGCATTCTAAACTAAGGATGATATCTTTCTGTTTATAAGCACTAGAACGTGCTTGCTAGCTAGCTAGCTAGGGTTCTTATATGATCACGCTAGCTAGCCAGCCAACAGCTAAACGATAGAAATGGAGCTCAAAGTGATGATGACAGTGCAGAGATCACAGAGAGAAAGGGTTTGCAGATAACAGCAGTCAGTGCATGCAGTAACTAATGCCTGCCCCAAGGATAAGTTCCCAAATATGGGACCAAGAATGTTTGGTCTTTTGAACTACATTGGTGATGTCTTCATTAATATATGGTTAGCTAGCACTGGCAGTACTTAAAAGGATGGAGCTCCTACTGTAAATTTACAGATAAAGAAATTAATCAAACTCATCATGTACGTACGTAGCTGATATCCCTAGCGCGATTCTAAGCATCCCTTAAACTCAAACCGCGGTCAAGGGAATTCATAATGATAATAACATCGAGTTTTGGAGACTCAGGTTCTATCGAATTGAACTAAGAACATTTTCTTATCATAGTAGCTAGATCCCTTAGCTTGCTCTCTCGACTTAATTAAGTACTAATGTGTGATTTCCTTAATGTGATTACATAATAGACACGAGAGGAAGGGTATTATCTTAAGATACATACTTATAACTTATAAGTTGATTATCTCATCCATACCATAGACGATACTTGATTATCTCATCCATAAGCGATTAAAATTATCTCAATTACTCTCACAAACATGATTTTGTTTTAAATTACTACCGTAACATCTAATTAATGCGGATTTTCGAAGACAAATTGTGAGATGACGATCGAAGATCTGAACTGGCTCTAGTATAATTAAGTTTGACAAGTATAATGCAGGTTAGACATTAATCAACAACCAAAAACAAAATCATCACGTATATCTATCTACATTAACCATCAATAAAAGTAAAACCCAAAATTAAGTTCAATTTCCTTAAACACATTCGTCGGTCATCGGCGTACCTATAGCTTGTGGATCCAAAAAGCCAGCTGCAATATGTGAACCATCGTCGTCCTCCTTATTTCTTTTCCCCCGCTTTCACTGTGATGCCCGTGGAATCATACGAAAGAGTGACGAACAACAACAACAACAAAAAAGAAGAAGCACTAGCTAGCTATTATCTACAAAGAAAGAAAGCAGCAGTAATTAATACGTAGAGTGGGCAGGAGGATGCTATTGATGGCCGAGCCGCAGCTCCAAATCAAGCTGCTCATCATCGCTACCGCTACTGCTGCTACCGTTCCAAATCGGCCTCTTGCCCAATGCTTCTTCTTCTTCTTCTTCTTCGCCGTCGTCCCGCTCCTGCTGGTTCTGGCCCGACCCGACCCGCAGGCTCAGGTTCGCACCCCACAGCACCTCCTCGGCCGACCCGAACCTGGGCGGCACGGGCGGGACCACCACCAGGTTATTATAACCTAGCGCCGCCTCCACGTGGGACGACGAAGACGAAGACCGCGGTCCGATGTTGTAATTGCTACTGACGATGTTGTTCCCGTACGGCCCTCGCCCGGCCGGCTGCTGGAAGAACAGGTGGCGCTGCTGCTGCTGATGAGGCTCCCAATAAGCGGAGGGAGAGTAGTAGTTGCCCGTGGAGAAGGCAGGTATCGGGTCGCCGTCGTTGATGATCATGGCGGCGGAGGCGGAGGGTAATTTGGACGACTTGGTGGCGCGGTCGCGGCGGTGGATGTTCATGTGGCCGCCCAGCGCCTGCGCGTTCGTGAACCCTCTCTTGCAGAAGCTGCACTCGTACGACCTTTTCGCGGTCGCCGCGGCCCGAGGGGCGGCGAAGACGGCGTCATCGCTGGATGAATCGGAGCTGCCCTGCTTCGCCATTTAGAGATGAAAGAGAAGAGTTGGAATGTTGGATCAAGGGTTTGGAGAGGGAATTGAGGTGGGATTTAGCTGTGGCTATATAACAGAGAGAGAGAGACAGAAATTCGGGGGGAAGATGGAGTTGGACAAGTAATTGCCAGTGCCAGTCTTTATGTGCTTCTTCTTGGTCGGAGTTTCTCGGAATTGAATATTTTCTCAGAAATTGGACCTTTTTTTCTGGGGGGGTTTGTCGTGACTTCAGACGGCTTTTTCTAGGAGACGGCCGATTGGAGTATATGAACTAGTAATGTAAACCCAATCTTTATTCCTCATTAATGTCTCTTACCCGGTTAACACGTACATACTTGTCTCTCCCCTAATTTGTTCATCTTCATTAATTAATTACTTACTACTCAAATCACCCATTGTTAGTTCAATTAGTAAAATACTAGAAAAAAATATGTGTTACCGAGTTGTGCTTGACGATTGTTATGTATTTTTGGAATCGGAAACTCAGTGAATTCTGAGTACGTAGCGGCGAATCTAGGAGCCCTTTCGTCAGGTACAGTCCAATCCTACTTTGGGCAGAGCTTGTACAGTAAATGAGACCTGCTTGCTTCTAACCCTTGTCAGATCACAACACTTTGGGCAGAGCTTGTGATCTGACTAATATCTGACTAATATTGGACTAAAAGTGTTGTTATTCTTCACATTTTCTTCTTCCTTGTAACCCTTGTGCTTCCAAGATTGCACACCGTAGACCATCTTCATTTCCATTGTCATCCACCCTAAAGTTGTTGGTATATTAGTAATTCCCAACTTGACCAAAAGTTCTCTTGTGTGAAATCAATCAAGTCCTTTGGTAAAAATATCTTCTAGCTATTCAATAGTTTGACATACTTCAATTTCATGATCCAGTTTAGACCTTTTTCTTTGCAATATGCATATCAATCTCAATATGCTTGGTCCTTTCTAGAAAGACAAGGTTCTATGTTAACTTCCAAATCCAGAGAGTACTTGTATGGTCCCAAGATTTTAATATGAAATTCTGCTAGCACAATCTATTATTATAGGTAATAGGACTTGAATTGATAACTCTGCTAACAATCTTTTCACATACCAAGTTTGTCGATGGTTTGTACTCTGCTTCTGATGAGGGCATTGAAACTATGGTATATTTTTAATCTTCCAAGTTAGCAAGGAACTTTCCAGAAAGGTGAACTAGCCCGAGATAGATTGACAAGTGCCAAGACAACTTGGCCATTAGGATCACTGTTACAAGTCATTTTCAACTCAATCATGACAGTGAAATGGATTCCTTGATTTGGCAATATCTTAAAGTATCTCAAAACCATGTATGCAGCTTGCAAATTCATTACACAGACTGTTCTAATACTCACAAAGATGTTGTACAACAAATGTAATATCAGGTCTTGTAATAGTTAGATTGTTTAGGCTTCTCAATAATCTTATATATCATTCCCCACCCTCCAACAAAGTTCCTTTAGCATTGAGTTTTTACTTTGGATTTATTGGTGTTTGACATCCCTTTCATTCCAAGTAACATGTATAATTTTCATCTATGCTAGCTTTCAATCACAAAAAGTACTTGAGTGGTCCAAAGATTTTAATCTTAAAATCTTTACTCAATGTTGTATTGACTTGGTCTATGTATATTTTTAGCATCACCACCCACAATTGTTTCATCAACATAGACTAGTAACACTACAATTCTTCACTGTGTCCACTTGGTGAAAAATGAATAGTTTGAGGCTGACTGAATACCAAAATCGATTAGAACACTTGTCAGCTTAATAAACCACCATCGTGAAGTTTGTTTTAGTCCATATAATGACTTCTTCAATCTCGAAGCCATCTATAGTTTTCTAGAAGAGGGCCCTATACTCTCAGAGATATCTTCATATAAACAACCTCATCAGGTTCTCCATGCAAGAAAGTATTTGAGACATCTAGCTGTTCAAGAGACAAATTCTTCATATTTGCCACATCCACGAATACTTGTACAAATATTTTTTGGATACAGGGGAGTATGTGTCTAGGAAGTCTATTCCATAGACTTGAGTACAATCTTTAGCCACGAGTATGGTCTTAAAGCTTTCAATAGCTCCATCAGGCTTATATTTCACTTTAAGAACTCACTTATTTCCAACTTGTTTTTTATTTGGCGGTACCAGAACTATATCCCTAGTTTGATTCTCATCTAAAGCGTGCAATTCTGAGCTCATAGCTCTATTCCATTCATCTAACTTAATTGCTTTATAATAGGACCTAAGCTCTATCTAATTCACCACACTAATGCAAAAGATCTATCAATAGGGCTCAAGCATTTAACATTCAGACATACTGGATATCTACTGCATACATTTGCTTCTAAAAAATTTCAAATTTGAGAGATGGACCCAAATGGTAATCATTGTACTTATTTGGCTGAGTGATGTGCCTTAGAGGTCTTCCTTTCATTAGCAAGTCTGAATCATGTTGATCAACATTGAATTGTGGAAGTAGTTCTTGATCTTCATAATCAAAATATGGATAATGATCATCCAAGAAAGCATTAGTATCAGTAGGAATTGGAATGGTAACAGAATCCTTAGGTCCTGTTTACTTTCATTTCTGTTTCCTGTTTTTGAGAAAACAGATGTTGAAAACAGGTGAAAACGACATTTTTTCGTTTTCGAAAACAGCAGGAAGTTGCCACTTTCTGTTTTCAGAGTGGGAAACGAATAGAAAACAGAATGAAAAGTAAACATGTTTTCTCGTTTCGTTTGCCAAATTTATGACATGAAAACAGAAAACAGGAAACGAAAATAGAAGTGAACAGGGCCTTAGGATTCCTCCTTCCTTTTTTATAATGGTGATGAAATTCATTCAAACGAAAAGCAAAGAAAAGAAATAGAGTTCAACACCAATAGATGAACGATGTTCACAAGAGCTAAACCAATCTTCCTTATGATTCCCCCCTTCATCTGTACATGAATGAAACTGAGGAATGGGATTATTAGAGTAGCCTGAGGAGTAGGTTTATGAAAATGAAGTTGTGTTGGTGATGCTAGCATGGGTTCTGCAACAGGAGAATGGTAGGTAAAAGGAGTAGAGAGAGGTGGAGTATCATGTGACTCAAAATGACAAAATTGATTCATAGAAGGTGACATCCCTGGACATGAAAACCTTCTTATCATACAAGTCTAGCAATTTATATCCTACCAGTTGGCATTCCCAAGAAAACACAGTGTCTGGCTCGTGCAATAAATTTTTTCTTCCATTGGCAATATGCTTGCATAATATAAGCAACCGAACACCCTTAAGTTTCTCATGAATAGTGGATATTTATGCAATACCTCATATGAAGATTTATTTCCAAGAATTGGGTTTGGAAGTCTATTAATTAGGTAGACAACATGCAATACAAAATCACTCCACTACTCCTGATGTCCCCCTAAGGGGGTTAGTGTGCATCCATAAACCAAGAGGGGTATGAACGTGCACCCTGGCCCTCAAGAAGTCAATCATGATAGGCCTCATGGGTATCAAACATGTTACATACCCAACAAATCCATAAATATTCTAATTGTCAGACATGCACACCCCACATGGTAGACCACCTAAATATAAGGCATGGCAACATACAAGAGTAGTCATCACAGATATTAGTAAAACATCTAGCATGAAGGTAATTGACACCAATATGGTCACCACTGTCATGAGATGGTGACCATACTCATCATAATGATCCCCTAAGTGTGATATCCCTCACCTATTAAGCATGATAGACTATATAAGTGTCAAGCATAGAATACCTAGCTAAATAGCCATCACATCACATTTCATCAAGCCTACAAGACATAAGCACACCTAATAGGGTACTAGGACTACGCGTCAAGCAAGACACCTCCCTGACATAGGAGGCTACCTAAAAAGTGAAGTCTTCAAGTCGTCAAGATATCAAGTGGTCTACATGGAAGCAAGAGGTGTTGGGGCATCAAGCAAGTTACATATAGCACTAGGCAGTGGAGTGGCGGTTACCAAAGCAGTTACACATGATGGCTATATGAGTAAATGAAGCAAGAGTTTCCAAAATCAACATTTTATACCACATGTCAAACTTTATCATTTCTATACAAAGCAGCTATAGAAGCAGTTTCTGGAGCTCTCACTAAACTTTTATAGGAGTAGAGTAATTTAATGCATATTGTTCCCGAAAACCATCAAACAACCTCATTGGAACACTGTTTGGAGAGGTAACCGTGTAATTAATCGTTATCCAAACAAGTCAAAGATGCATCCATTTAGGGGTGTGCAATAGTCCGGACTGTATCGGACCTAATATAATGCGATCCGGTCCATGGTCCCCATAAATTTTACAATTACTGAAGAAATAATGGACCAAACTAATATTTGGATCTGACTGAACCATACCAAATGGACCAAATACAATAATGGTCCAGTCCTCGGTACTAAAATATATCTCACTAATAGATCGCGGTTCTCATGAGTACTGGAGAGGTGAAGCGTGTGAAAGATCATACATTCAAACACTATCTATACATCGACAGAGTCGTGCACCAAAAATGACCTGATCTCTTATTTCATCTAACTAAACCGTATTCTCATGGAGATCCAAAAAGGTTTTAATTGTTTCATCTAAGTAATTAATCATTTAATCCCACAGGCAGTACCGCGTAGCTATACTGTCCCATTATCCCCGAATCCCATTATCTGCAAGCTAATCGCCAACTAATCACATCTTGTTTGCATTAGCTAATTCTTCTGACCTTGGAAAGGCCGCGCGAGGCAAAGAAAGAGAGGTGTCTTGGACACAAATGGTTGTGGGGAGAAAAGCCGTTCAAACAGGGAATGAATGAATTGATGTAACTGCACCGCATATAAACAAACCGTAGACATGTCTTCCCCGACAACTTCCCATGTGTCGTTTTGTGCCCACAGGAAGGAACTCCCAATCTTTTCT